TGGTGGTGGCTGGGAGTGGGGAGAGGAGGAAATGTGATGATGTTGGCCAGAATACAAAGTTTCAATTATGCAACATGAATAATTTCTGGAGATCTAATTATGTATCTCATGGTGCCAATAGTTAACAATACTGTTATTTTATGCATGTAATTTGCTAAGAGGATACATCCTAAATGTTCTCCCTAAATACACACACACTACCTAAGTAATGTATGTATTAATTAGCTTGACTGTGGTCATCATTTCACAATATACACACATATTGCAAATGTCAAATGTATAACTTAAATATATGCAATTTTTATATGCCAACATCATCCCAATAAAGTTGTTTTAAGAAACACTAAAGGATTATAAAAAAGCACCATGGACAACTATATGCCAACAAATTAGATAACATAGAAAAAATGGACAAATTCCTGCAAACATAAAACCTACGAAGACTAAATCATGAAGAAACTGAAGCTCTGAAAAAATCTAGAACTTTTAAGGAGACTGAAACGATCAGAAAGCTTCCAGCAAAGAAAAACCCAGGACCAGATGGTTTCACTGGTAAATTCTACCAAGCATTTAAAAAACTGACACCAATGTTTCATAAATGCTTCCAAAAAACTGAAAAGAAAGGAAAACTTCCCAACTCATGCTATAAGGTAAGCATTACCCTGACACTTAAGAACAGACACTACAAAAATTGAAACTACAGACCAATGTCCTTCATGAATAATGGTTCTAAAATCAATAAAATACTAGGAAATTCAATTTAACAACATTTAAAAATGATTATACATCATAACCAAATGGAATTTATGCCCAGAAAACAAAGATGTTTCAACATTCAAAAATTAATAAATGCAACACACATTAGTATCATGAAGGGGTAAAGCTCACATGATCATTTCAACTGATGCATATCTGACAAAATCTAATACCCTTTCAAGATAAAAAGAAACAGTCAATAAACTAGGACTAGAAATAGACTACCTCAATGTAATAAACACCCATAAGGAAATACCACATGTAATGCTGAACTCAATGGTGAAAGACTGAAAGCTTTTCCCCTAAGATCAGAAATAAAACAAGCATGTCTGCTTTCAATACTTCTCCTCAACGCTGTACTAGAAATTCAAGACCGTATGGTTAGGCCAATAAAAAAATAAAATAAAAGGCAAATGAATTGGAAAGGAAGAAATAAAGTTCTATCTCCTTGTAAAGTTGTAGGATACAAAAATCTGTTTTATTTCCATACACTGGCCATGAACCACCAAAATTTGGAATAAAATGAACCGTGGAGGTGATAGATCTGTACACTGGCAACTTCAAAATTATAAAACAGGAATAAACTAAAGACGACCTACAGAAATAGATATCCTATGTTCATGAACCAGAGAACTTCATATCAAGATGACCATATTACATTAGAGGTTGAACTGTGTCCCTCAGAAAGATTACTTGACAGCCTAATTCCTGGTACTTGGGAATGTGATGCTATTTGGAAATAAGTCTTCACAGATGCAATCCATTAATAGGAGATCATACATGATTACATTGGCCCATAATGCTGTATGACTGGTGTCCTCATCAAGAAAATTTGGACACAGGCAAGGAGGAAAGACAACCATGTGAAGAGGACAGTAAAGACTGTAGTCACGCTGCTGCTACGAAAAGATCTAACAGGCAAGGAAGGAACATATGCTAGAGATTTCAGAGAGAGCATGACCCTGCCAATACCTTGATTTCACAACTCTAGTCTCCAAAACTGTGAAAGAATAAAATTTGTTATTTTAAGCCACTCCATTATGGCAGAGGGGGAATGGGAAATTACTGTCCAGAGACGTTTTGGAAAATAGAGAGTAGTTCTGGTTGCAAACACTGTAGATGTTACATGCCACAGAATTACACACCTAAAACAGGTTGATTTCCATAGACAGAATAGAAAAACTTATCAGGATCTATCATGCAGGAAGCACCAAGCCCAAAGAGTTCCACAGGGAATCCTACTAAACTTCAAGGCTTTCAGAGGCTACAGATTTCCTTTGCTATCTGAAAGTAGAGAGCATTTTTTAAAAGATTTTATTTATTTGAGGGGCGCCTGGATGGCTCAGTGGGTTAAGCCTCTGCCTTCGGCTCAGGTCATGATCTCAGGGTCCTGGGATTGAGCCCCACATCGGGCTCTCTGCTGAGCAGGGAGCCTGTTTCCCCCTCTTTCTCTGCCTGCCTCTCTGCCTATTTGTGATCTCTGTCTAATAAATAAATAAAATCTTTTTAAAAAAAGAAGATTTATTTGAGAGAGTGAGTGTGTGTGCACAAGTGGGGGGACAGGGGGAGAAGCAGGCTCCTCACAGAGCAGGGAGCCCAACATGGGGCTCGAGCCCAGGACCCTGGGACCGCAACTGAGCCAAAGGCAGACACCTAACCAACTAAGCCACCCAGGTACCCTGATCTTTGAAAAGTAGAGCATTATGAAACCTTTTGTAAGCTGAAATGTTTGTGTAAAGCAAAGCAACTGCCATTAATTTATATGGAAAACATTTTAGTGTTCCCAGACCTAAAAAGTAACCTCTCCTAGGCTTGTCTGACATCTCAGCACACACCTTGTTAACACAAAAGCACAAAATAAACCAAGAAAAACCACACACACTCACAGAAATGGTTCACAGCTATGGTGGCTTGTTGAGATGCAGAGCAGAGTTCCGGGGCAGGGTGGAGGGGGGTGCACTCGGCAGGGCCACTCTCGCAGCCTGGGGTGTGCACTGCCTCTATGATGACCTGCTGCAAAACAAACGCTGAATGCTATTTTCGCTTTTTACATAAAAGTGAAAATCCTCTTCGAATTTCTTTTGCTTAGTGGAAACAGGGACAAATGGAGGTCTTTTGCACAAGTGGCGTCACGCAAATTTTCAAAAAGCGGGGCACACCTGTATATAGGAAAAAAAACAAAACCACAGAAGTGGGACACACTGAAACATCACCCTGAATAAAGCAGCATCATTTCAAACTGCCATATACTGAAGGCACAGCTTACACCACCAGGAATGAGACAAGGACACCCACTCTCACACATCATGGTATTGGAGATCCTAGGCAGGGCAATAAGGAATGACAATCTTAACAGAGAAACAGAATCTGAAATTAGCAAATCAAACTGGGGCTATTGGAGACAGAAAAAACACAAAAGTATAAATTATTAGAAATAACAGAAGGAAATGAAGTGGGCCCAGAAAGTTAAAGGCAGTTCTTGGGAAGTAATTTGGGACAGGGAGTTGGGTGGAGAGGAGACATGTGCTTAGGTATCACCATTTATTATGAAGAAAAAATTGGAACAATTCCTCTCCACTACGCTGCCCTCCACCTTAATCAACTTTGCTCCAGCTCAGTTGCTTTTTCTCCAGGGGACTCTAAGCAAAAGACTACCCCACGAGAAAGGATTCTCCCTTTTCACCATCAAAGGGTTTGACATATCCTTCATCCTCTGTCTCTCCTTGATTCCTTCTCACATTCCTCCTCTCATTTCTCTGCCTGGAGTGGGGGCTTCCCCCTGATACCTGGATGCTTTTCCACACACACCTATCAGTTACTGGTATGTTTACAGAGAATCCTTGATTCCTGCATCTCCCCTCACCAACTCCCTCAAAGCAAAAACAAAAACAAAAACAAAAAAAAACCAGCCACTGTTAAGGAAAACCCCAGTTCTACCTCCCTCATGGGGAAAAACCCAGTTCTTCGCTGCTGGGAGTCTTTCTCCTGGGTCTCCTTTACGCCTCACAGAAAACACTGCACTTCTAACATTTCTGGTCACCAAATGTGTGGGGATTCGTCCCTGCAACAAAAACTAAGTCACACCGTATCTCCGATACCATGCACCTGGAGAGAGTGGTGGATCCCAGCCAAAGAGATCAATCCCACATGACTGCCCCCACCCTACTTCAGATGCCCAAGAGCAAGTAGTTAAGCCCCCAGCTTACTCACCACTTGTCTGATCTGGCTACAAATCAGAGGCGCTCCCATGACCCCCTCCCTCAAGTTGGATTAATTTGCTGGAGTGGCTCACAGATCTCACAGAAACACTTACTATTACCAGTTTATGAAAAGATGATAAATAGTACGGATGAAGAGCCAGATGAAGAGATACATATGGTGAGGTCTGGGAGGAGGGGATCCAAGTGGAGGAGCTTCTGTCCTTGTGGTGTTCGGGTACATCTCTCCATACCCCTACTACTGGGGTTTTATGGAGGTTTCCTCATGTAGGTCTATCAACTCACTCCGTTTCCAGTCCCTCCTCCCCCTCTGGAAAATGAGGCAGGGGCTGAAAACTCCAAGCTAATCATGGTTTGGTCTTTCAGGGGACCAGTCCCACCTGGGAGCCATCTGATCGCCCAGCCTAAAGCGTGTCATTAGAACAAAAAATGATCCTAGTTTTCTTCTCACTTAGGAATGTATGTACAAGGGTTTCAAGAGCTCTGTGTCAGGGGTGGGGGTCAAAGGCCAAATGTTGGGACAAAGGATACTTCTAGAGTTGTTACTTAGGAAATGACACTGCTTTCAGAAGCTCTGCGTCAGGAGCTGAGGACAGACCAATACATATGCTCAACCTTCCCAGTCCCCTGACTCTGGTAACCCCTTGCCATACTGGTATCTGTTGTTCTCATGGCACTCCTCTGAAACCAGCTTTCTTAGGGGTTTGGTGACCTGTTTAGTGGTACCCATCCCTTTCAAAGCTACGTTCTTTGAAAGCAGACACCTTGAATGTTTACACTCTTCCTCAATAAGAGCAGTTTCTGAACAGGAAGTTGACAAATATCTGAATAAAGAGGTGAACAAAAACTATGTACTGAGCACCTACATTCATCTATTTCCTTGATGAATACGTCAGTGATCCCACCTTATTAAAAAAAAAAAAAAGTGTTTTGAAAAGAAACTCACCCAACTGCGTGGTGTTCAAAGTGGGAATGCTGAAGCAAAATGAAAGGGAAACTGGGTAAACAGACCAGAAGGAAAAGTGCTGGGAGACTCTCTCTTTTTATATCCAGCACTAAAACAGCACCTGCAGGATCGATTTTTGACCGGTGCTTGTCGATGTAATGAGTAAGGGAGCCCCAGTTGGATCCAGAAATAGGAGTCCCCACCACAGCGTTTGTTGTGTTTTCTCTTGTTTTCATAGTTTTCTTCAAAGCCACACCATCCCTCGGGAAATCCACTGCCACAGCTCCAGGATCCACAGCTGCCCCTCTTTCCCATCAGGTCAGCTGTGCATTCTCATTAAGTCAGGCCACTGAGGTCGAGTTAGTCAACTCCATGTCGGCCCGCTGCAGTGCCTGCAACATTTCCTGCAACTTGGCATGCACGCGGGCGAGCTCCACTCTGTTGAGGTTCCCCCACCTGTATTCATCCAAGTACACAACACACTCAGCAGGGACAGGGTACTGCACACGCTTCAGCTCCTTCAGCCCCGCTAAGTGCTGCAGCACGTTCATGATGCCTGAGGTGGAAATGACATTGTCGTAGAACACCAGAGAGCGGAGGCGGGAGCAGCAGCACAGGGCAGGCAGCAGGGCTCGGAGCTGGGCTTCCTTCAGCCGGCAGCTTCTCAAGTTCAGGTGCTGCAGAGTGCCTGAGACCTCCCCCAGCAGAACCTCGAGGGGCCCAGGAACCATCTGGGATAGATTATTGCCACAGAGGACCAACTCCTTCAGGTGGGTGGCATGAATGCTCTGGGACAAGTAAGTGATGTCATTCTCAGTAAGCCTACATCCATTAATCACCAGTGTCTCTAGTGGTTTTTGCAGGCCACTGTGGAGAGACAAACACGGTTTACTCCTTGGAAATTAGAGTGTACACTAGATGCATTTGGAAAAGATCCAGAAATCTGGCCTCAGAAATTTGCACTACGCCTACCTCAGTCTGGATGCAAATGGTGGGAGCCATCTTCTGTAGCAGTTAAGAACACAGAGCGTGGAGTGAAACATTTCTCCATTCCCCACAGGACCTCTCTATTTTCAGAGTATGGTGTCGGGCACCCCTCTTAGCTTCCTAACGAGCCACATCGACACAGTTATCACTCATGCTCCATAAAGCATAGGATTAATGAAATTTAGATGTAACTCCTACTCATGGTAAGGCTTAGATTCTACTCGGTAGAAGGTTCAGGAAGATGGTTCCCCATGCTTCTATTTACTCAAAGACCCGTGCCCCAGGAGAACAACTCCCCATTCCAGGGCGTACCACAGAGAAATCTGAGAGACATTTATGAGGAGAGTCAGTTCACCAAATCAGCTCAGCTTAGATGTTGTGGGGGGCAGTTTCCTCCCTCAAACACCACCCTCACAACTTACCATCCTTATTCACCTTCTCTACATAAACTCTAGACAGATTTTTTTCAAGGCTGCATATCCATTCTTAGCTAACTGCTTGGCACAGACTAAGCGCATGAATGAATGAATGAGTGGAGTGAATGAATGAGTGGATGAGATGACAATTTCAGACCTGCCTCTTTCTCTTCTATAGCAGCCACGAGCCCCTGGCTGGCCCAGGACCACTGCCCTGGAGTCTGGGTCCAGCAGCAACTCTGTGGACTCACAGAAGGGAAGCGCGGGCTTGTCTCTGCTCCAATGCAGCAATGCCCAGAGCGGCGTCCAGGCGCCCTGGCCTGCGTACCTTCAGAGGACTTGCCGCACACTCACCTCAGCATCTTCTGTAGCTGGCCTGAGAGACAGCCAAAGATGAGATGGAGCTTCTGGAGGTGGCCCAGTGGACTCAGCAAGGAGAAACAGTCTGCAGGGAAATCCCAGGGGATGTCGTTCAGGACGAGGTGGCCCAGGTTGCTCATCTGCCCTACGTGGGTGAAGAACTGGATCAGGTCCGACCGGAAGCAGAACCTGCTCCTGTGATGAAGCCTCACCTCTCGGATGGTCTCCAGCTCCAGCATTCCCAGGATCTCGACGAGGCTGCGCAACGGCACCTGGTTGATGACCAGGGTCCGACAGCGGAGGCGCAGATAGCCATGGCTCTTCTCAACTCTCTGCAGTATGTACGAGGGGAACCCCGACAGGTGGAAGAAGCCGAACAAACCGCCGAGGAAAAGGTCTGTGTGGATTTCCACAGGTTCTCGGTGATGCGGAGGCTGTTCTTTGGAATCGGGCGCCAGCGGGTCTGCCTCCGGCTCTTCCAGCATGTGTGTGATGACAAAGGGAGCAGGAGTCATCTCAGAGCACTCCTCCCAGTTGGAGTGCTCAAAGTCATGGGTAAAATCCAGCACCTTCAGCTTCGATCTCCTGCAGGGAATGAGGAGGATAGTAGAGATTGGGACTTCCAGGCCAGTACAGCAGGGCTGGGAGGAGACCAGCAGCAGTGAACCCTGGAAAGGGCCGCTGGGCCAGCCAGCAGCCCTGCCTGCTGCCCTGCACCATGCGTTCAAAGGGCCCTGCTCAGTGCCCACCTTTTTATACACTCCGGGGATACCACCTGGAAACCTACCCATCCCCTTAACCACTTCAGCAGCGTGATCGGCTCTGAACTGCACCAGGGCCCTCTTCTCAGAGGGACCCTGAGCAATGGCTCAAGGCTTCCCAATGATTGACATTGTACCTGGTGGCACATGCCTGGGCCCCGCATCCCTGAATCCAGCTCCTGCTTCCTCAGTCACTGCACCACTATCAGCACCCTGTCTCTCCAGTTACCTGGGGCAAGTAACACTGGTAGGAACCAATTCCAGCCCATCTAGGACAGCTTCCAAGAGGTCTTGAGTTATTGACTGATCTCTTAACGATCCAAGACGGAGGCAGGGGAAAGGCCAGGCCTGCACCATTGCTGTCACAGTCTTCGTGTGTCCCCCATCAAAAGCTGCCGTGGACAGTGCTGGGAAGAGGCCCACAGGGAGCTTCTCCAGGGCACGGACAGCTGAGTCCTCATCATTCAGGAGGCTCTGTGCTGCAAGATCCAAGAGGCTGAGAGGGTCTTGTCCACTCATCTCCACTGACCTGCTGCAAGGTAAGGGAAAATCCTCAGTGCATTTTCATGGTGCTCAGCCCTCCCGCTTTTGGGCCAGGACAACCCAGCCTCCACCACCCTTCTTAGCAGGAAGTGAGATCCCTGGAGGTCCCCTATCCTCCTTCCATCCTACCACTTCTAGTTCTAAACCTGGAGCACGCACTCACGCTCTCTCTCTCTCTCTGTCTCTCTCTCTGCTGGTGGCACCGGTGTCCCTTACTCTGACCCCCAGCTGGCTGAAAGGAGAGTAATTAGGGCTTTATCTCTGTTCCTGACTGAGCTTCACAGAGCATAAATTTTTCCAAAGTTAGTTTCTCAAACTTTCCCCAAGATCATCACCATCTCCAACATGATTTTAAGGACTGGACAACCATCTCTTTCCCTAGTCCAGTGGCAACAGGTCAGGTCCTGAGCTTTTGTTTGCCTTCTCTGGTAGGCAGGCAGGCCTTACTAAAATGGTAATGGCAACTTTCCACATGTTCAGATCTGGACTCCTTCCTGCTCTATACAGTGCATTCCTACTCACAATCCACCAGGCTTCAATGCAAATCAGAGGCAAGAAAATTATTTTCAAAAAATCAGAAAGATCTAAAACTCCTCTTACAGTGCTAGTAAATTTTTGACACAAAATGTCAGAGAAAGGTAAGAGAAAGGAAAATTAAAGCACCATCCCAAGTGTAAGTAGATACAACAGTCCTGGATAAAATATTACTAAACAGAATGAAGCAGTGTCTCATGACCAAGCAGAATCACAGACTGTTTCTTCCAGGAACAAAAGGGGAGTGACACATTGGAGAATCTATTAGTGAACCTCTGATTACACTTGGATGACTGAACATGAGTGCTCTGAGCTGCCACTTGAAAACCCAAATGAAATAAAGGAAGAGCTAAAACCAGAAGGTCAGAGAGGAGAAATTAAGACACCCCTGCTCTTTAAGAAAAAAGCAAGTTTTGGAATCAAGGAAAAGGCAAGTTTTGAATCCAGAAAAAGGTGGATCAGAGGAACTAGAGTTCGGACTACAGAAGCTAAAACCTCAGCCTGTGTGGATGGTGAAGTCAGAAATCAATTGCAGAACCCGCAAAGGCCTCAGGAATGATACCCACAAGCAGGGCCCTGGGCAAGGGCCAGAGCACTTGGCCAGTCCTGTGGTAGCAGTCTCTACAAACACATGGAACATATGCATTTCCCTCCACCCCAGCACAGCCAGCAATCCACACCTGGGCCCCACCTTCCTCCAGTTCCACCCTGACTCTGCTCTGCCGCTCCCTGGAGCCACTCTCAGCCCTCACCCTACAGCAGGCTGCTCTTCCCAAGGGAACGAGGGGACTGAGAGAGAGCTGGTTTGGTAAATAATGATTTTAACCATCAAAACGCTGGACTATGACCTGACTGAGCATTTTCCGCCTATGTATAAGTGAGAAGGGGCACCTGCTCAGAGCTGAGGCCCAGTAAGCAGCACCAGGCCACTATCACAATCCACCAATTGTTCTGATGGCGGAGCTCGTCTGAAGGAGGCAGGGCCCTGGCTGCAGAAGTGGCTATGTCTGAAGCCCCCCCACCCCCCGTGCTTCTGAAATGGCCCACCTCTTTGAAGGAAAAGCCCAAGGGAAACCACACGTGGGACCCTAGGGGCGTCTCTGCCCTTGCCCCTCCTTCATGCCCCTCTCACTTGGTTAAGACTAAGTCCAAACACCAAACCCTTCAAGGGGGATGTATATTCTACTGACATCTGCACAAGACACAGAGAAGAGACTCCCCAAAACTCGGCAGTGAAAACTCCTCACGTTCTCAATCTCCCTTCCCCTCCCCTAAGCCTGTCAGCCTTCCTGCCAAATGCCTTCCTTGGGAGGAGCCGTTCACACCTCCAGCTTCTTCCCATTGAAGCCCCTAAGCATCTCCCTGCTGCACCCTCCTGAAGGACCTTCACCAACCTCCCACTATACTGGTGAAAGATGCTATAAACATATATTCAACATGTCACACTGATTTTCTTAGGGCCTTCTCCTAGGTTCCAATGCATCGATTCTCCTCATCTTGTCTTCCCTCCATTATTCATTGTAGATTCCCTTCAAGGTCCCTACCATTCTGCTGTCCTTGCTAGCGTGCCAGGTGGCCTGGCTCACACCTCATCTCCGAGGGGTCCAAGCCCCTGCACCCTGTGCCTCTTGCAGTGAGGGCTGTAGCACAATGAGGCAAGGGAGTACTGAGACCCTAAATGGATCCCTCGGGAGTCAAATTTATTCCTCTCTATCCCCTGGTTTAAAAGCAGCTCTATTCTCTCCTAATCTGGGTCAGTTACTCTCACCAAGATGGGGCCTCCTTTTTCTTACCAGTTGGGTGCTGGACACAAAGAGGATAAAGTCTTCAGGCGCTGCTACAGCTTCTAACCCAGCAGGATCTTCTGCTTCACAATGGACAGTGGCTGAACCTAACCAACTTTATGACTTCACGGGTTTGACAGCACTTCCCTCATGACAAGCAGTTCTGGCCATAGGGTAATGTTGTGTCTGATGGCCCTCTGCCAGGCCCACTAGCACTACAGGAACTGCTTTATAAGCACATGAGTCACCTCTGCAGACTTTGCGGCCTGGCTCCAGACCCCTAAGAAGGTACCTTTTCCTACCACTGATACCCCCAGTCCCTTCAGATTGGCGCCATCTTGTGGCCCAAGCACCAGGGCTGCTTCCACGGCAGCTTAGACTTTGCTCCTCTGCGGAGAACGTTCCTAGTCTGGGATACACTCAAAGTCACAGTCTTTTTGGGCACCTTGGTGGTTCAGTCAGTTAAGTGTCTAACTTCAGCTCAGGTCATGATCTCCAGGTCTGGGGATCCAGCCCAGTGTCTGGCTCCATGCTTAGTGGGGAGTCTGCTTCTCCTTCCGCCCCTCCCAATTCCCCTGCTCATGTACACAGACGCACTCTCCAGTACACCTTAAAAAAATGGGGCAGTCTTTTGTGTCTGGTATACAGGCCAAAGAAGCGTTCCAAGATATGGAATATGTTGTCTCCAAAACCTGAAGAGTCCTACCAGGTGTCATGCTTCCTTCTTTGCCACGGGAGGTGCAAATTGTGATAATTCATCTTTTCCTTTGGATGTGCATGTCCTGGGGCACTCCAAGCTCTTCTCATGCAGCAGATCCTTGAATCTTCACAGGCACGTCTCCAAGGATGCAATGCATGTTTCTTACCAAGGCTTCCAACATGCCAGCCATTTCTCCCTAATCTCGCTCGAATGGCATGCAGTCAGAGTAGTGAACTGGTGTGATGTTCTGTGGATGCCTGGTTGTAGGTGGTCCAGATCTCTCTTCCTGACAGAGGCAGGATGGGCATAATCCTGGGGCAAAATTAAATGTAGACTCTTGCCTGTTCTGTGTGAAAGCAGATGGTACCTGATAGGGACAGAAATGAACACATTTGCCAATTAACGTTTGTATACCATATACCCGAGACTTCATTAATCCGGCTTGAGCAAGGCAGCCCATCTGGAATGGCAGCTTCAGCTGGGGCTACTATCTGGGTGACTTTACAGAAATCTTGGCCAACTTCCAGGATGAACCTGCTTTCTGCAGGGACAGACTGCTGAATTAAATGGAAATATGACAAGGTCCACCACTCGAGCCCTTTGCATCCTTAAGAATGACAAAATTATCTGTCATTCCTCCTACCGTGTGATACTGTTTTATATTTACTATCTTGACCAGGAATGGGAACAGGTACAGAGACCTCCACTTGGCCTCTCCTATCATGATAGTTCTTATCTCACAGATAAAAGACCCAATCTGGGTGCTGCATCCAAATATTCTATTCCAATCAGGTGTTTGCAAACTGGGCAATGACACAGGGTTACCATTGTGAGCTGGATCCTGACCCAGAATTCTATTTATTATCTGGCTCCCTAGAGCCACCCCCTCAATTCTAACAGTGGGGCACAATTATGTTTTGTACATCCAGATAGTAATATTGACTCTGACTCTATGTCCAACAATACATAATTTATTTATATATATCGCCCTTTCCCTGGTCTGCTCCTCAAACTGCTTGTATATTCCAGTTCCCCTTGTTCACATTTACCCATGTGTGGTAAGCATCACCCAAAATGACCACAATGATTCTTGCCTCCTGGTATCCATTCATGCCCTTGTGAAGTCCCCTGCCACACTGAATAAAACAGACATGTGATCATCTATGGAAATTACAGTGTGTGACTTCCAAAGTTAGGTCATAAAAGGCACTGTGACTTCCACTGTGCTTCCCCCTGGATCACTTGCTCTCGTGTCACAGAGACACCCAAACAGCCTTATGGAAAAGCCCATGTAGCAAGTAATGAAGGGCTTTTGTCAAAAACTGACTGGGCATGTGAGGGAGCTGCCTTGAAAGTGGGTATCCAAGGCCCAACTGAACCTTCAAATGACTGCAGCCCCAGCCCAGTTCTTGCTTGCATCCTCAGACACACCAATGAGTCACCAATTAGCACTATCCAGCTAAGCCACAGAAACCATGTAAGATAAGAACAAAAAGAATGAATTAGGCTGCAAAATTTTGGGCTTACTTATTGCACACCATCAGGTAACTGAAATACTGAGTAAACGTGCATAAATTCCCTCGAGAAAATTTATTGAGTCCCGTTGCCATAGAGTTCTGTGGTCCTTTAAGGCGTGGTTCCTTTATCTCCCTTCTCAACCTAAGCATGTCTCTTGCTGTGTTATGCTGGGACAAGCCCTACTTACATGCCAGGAGGGAAACTGGGGAAGACAGCAAGAAAAGCATATTTTGTCTTAGTGAAAATGCCCCTGCAATGTATTCAAATAGAAGATTTAGTGGGGTTTTTTTGGGGGGGTACTTTTTTTTTTTTAAGGTAGGCTCCACACCCAGCATGGGGCCTGAACTCACCACCCTGAGATCAAGACCTGGGCGGAGACAGAGTGGGACGCTTAATCAGTTAACTGAGCCACCCAGGCACCTCAATATTTTAATTTTTAATAGGATGGATTGGCCCACCTACTTCTGTGTCAGAGGGTTAAGGAGAATCTGTGAATTTCAGATCACGGGGCTTCAATGCAGGTAACTCTATCTATATGCCAGTGTGCCATTCTTTCCCAACCAGGATGATTTTGGTATAGCAGACCTGCCCTGATTGGGAATTCAACCTCCTTTGGAATTCTACTTCCCTGCAGATTAAATCCCAGCCAGACCCTTAGCTCTTCTCCCCCACACCACATCCTTCCCCCTCCACCCTCCAAGATGAAGGCCTCTTTGTTTGCTACCAAGGAGATCCTGAGGGTGGCTTTCAATTGCCAACTGGCCCTCTGCCTTTATCCTTCCCTATGGCGTCAACCCAGCCTAGCACTAGCCATTCAATCCCACAGTTCTCTTTTCCTAATTACTAACTGGTCATGCTTTCCAAAATGATTCACCTAGTGCGCTGCCTAGTGTACTCCCTTCCGTGGGCATCCTATCCCAATTCACCACCAGTTCAAGCTCTAACTTTGGGGCCGCCATCTTGTGCCTGGGCTACCTGAGCTCCACTCCCTTCCACCAGTGACGGCTCCTAATGCCAGCAGGTGGTGAGCTGCGTCCAGAGGCAGGGCATCGCCAGGTGTCAGGGTCAGCCCATCCTTGTAGGTCCCAATGGTGGAAACTGGGCCTCTCCGGTGCCCTCTGTCCCGCTGCGTCGGTGGCAGTCTCCGGAGGGCACCCACCTTTGGTCTTTGGTCAAGGGTAAGAGGCAGCGCAGGTGGTTACAGCAAGAAAGAAGTTTGCACCCACCTGGAAGTCCGCCCACTCGACTTTCCTTTGGAACCTCTCCGGATCCCCCATCAAGCAAAGGACACAGGAAGCGTCCCGCATCCCGCGCGGCCACCTGAACCGCAGGAGAACGTAGGAAGCCCGGGCCCCAGACAGCTTCAGATTCCCGTGTCCTGAGGCCTCCTTGGTGCGGGAGCCCTGGGCTCCTGTTCCACATTTTGACGCCCCACGCTACCCCAGAGCCTACGAGGCAGCTGAGAAGGGCGACCTGGGGATTGAAAGCACTCTCAAAGGGCCGGAAGGCAAAACTCAGAGCCTAACTGCAGCTCTCGAAGTTTCCTGAGGCGCGGGCAGCTTCCTGAGTCACGTGGGGCGCGGGCTGAGAAGAGGGTTGGCAGCCTCACACAGGTCACGTGGGCAGGGCCCCCTCCCCCTCACGTTGGATCGCGTGAGAAGCGGGGCCGGCCCAGCTCCCCAGGCCTTCTACGGGTCACGTGGTCGGGGTGGGGCCTGCTTCCTGCTAAGGGGAACTTGGGAGATGGGGCGGCGCCTGTCCCTTAAAAGGATCTTGGGGCCTGATCGCTTCATCCTGCTCACGTGGGCAGGACCTCGTTTCGTCAGTTGGGATCACGTGTGAGGTGGCGGTTAGGTCCTGCTCTGCTCACCCCTCGTCTCCTGGTTGGCGAGTGTGGTGGGAAGGGCTGAGAAGTAGCCTCGGACTGCAGTCTATGGGTCATATCACCAGTGCGGGCTTGGAAACCTGGAGGGCTGAGTGAGATAGGGTCCCAGGCCTGTTGGAGAGACCGAGGAGGGAGCATGGAGGACCCCGGAGGCGTATGGACCCTAGGAGGGTCCTTCTGGGAATTGGGCAGAAAGTGTTTCTAAACCTGAGAAAAGGGTTTCTGCGCGCCGCCAAAGTCCCAGCACTTGGCGTAAGAATTGAAGGTGGCCCTGCCCCAGTGAGCAGTTTGAAGACACCTCCCCATCTTTTACCTTGTATTTTGGCTCCCCAGTGGAGTCCCCAAGGGTCTGCAACAGGCCTACTCTGAGCCATGTTTTGTAGAGAGAGCAGGTTCTCAACCTTTTCCCCTAAGGGCATCAGGCGCCTGAAAGAAGTAACTACCTCTTAAAAGACGTTTGTCCAGTGCCAGGCACTCTGTCGAGGATTTGCTGTACCTTATTTCCTCCCAAGAATGCTGCTGGAAGTTCCACACACACACTTCCTTTTCTCCTGTCTGACCCATGTAGTTCTCTCCTACTGGAGCATTCTTTTTAACTTCATTAACGTCCATTAAAGATGTGTTACATATATGGTTCATTCTGAGACCCTGAATGTAAACCATTCCTGTGTACTTCTTAGAATAAAAATATTTGTAGGCAGTGCCTCAGATGCATTCAATGATGATTCTGCATGAGATAAGACTGCTTCAAAATAGAACAAGGGCTTGGAAATAAGGGTGCACAGATCCACCCTACAGTGACCTATTGAGGATCATGAGGGCACCAGGTGCCCTCTGGGCATTCTTAATGATGTGGTCAATAGATTACAAAGGAATCACTCACTTTTTCATTCATTTTTGTGATGATGATGCTTTCATTTTCTCCTTCAGCCTAACCCCAGCTGTGGCCATGGCCACTCAAGGACCTGGGCTTGAGGCAGGACTGAAATCAGGGATCAGAGAGGTTAGCTTGGAGGCCACACTCTCACCCCCAGTGGGGGAGAGATGACGGTAGGGGCACCTGCATCTGTGAGTTCTCCCATCTGTGAGTTCTCAGACATGTTCTTCCATCCTCTAGGTGTCTAGAATTTGGTTGCACAGACTCTGCTGCTCCCAGGATCTGGGACCAGGACCAGGACACTCCTTACTTCCCTATGTCAGGGACCCTTCCTTTTTGTGGGTCTGAGTGTCTCTGTTAGAACCATCACCCCTGGGTTTTATCTTGGTTTCTTGCTGGCCTTAGAGGTTCTGAATCACTTTGTTTCAAAGCGAACCTCCCCTTTCCCACTGAGCTCACCAGAGCCCCAACTGTGGCCTTTGAGGACACGGAGAAAGAAAACGTTTAAACAGTAGGTGATAAGAAGCACTTTAGGTGAAGATTTAGAAGCACCCTTCTTGAGCACCTGTCCAGCTCCCGGCAGAACCCAAGAGATGTTCCTTCTGTGGGCATCCTCGTGGTTACCTCTTGTAAACCAAAAAACCTCAACTAAAATAATTTGCAGCAGCTGAGGCTGGGCACCCTCCTCTGACCTTGGCTCTTACCCAGAACCCCAAACCCCTCTCCTTCACCAGAATAAATCCAACTTCAATAGTCTGCAGGTATAATGTATTCTGTCTTCACAGGGGAAATCAAAGACCTTAGTTCCCCCATCCTCCATGTCTTGCTGGGCAGAGACTGATAGGCTTTGGACTAAAAATTGAGAGGAAAAGCTGCACTGGAACTTAAGGTCATGAGAAAATCAGTGTGGCAGGTAAAATGGCATGCTATTTACAACATCCACCTCAACTGGAAGAGGGGCATCTGAGAGGCTCCTGCTGGTGCTGAGTGGGGAGGTCATTTGGAGTTTTTTCCTTTTTTGTTTTGTTTTTTAAGATTTTATTTATTTG